ATATACATGCACCAGGGGTGAATAATGACAAACTTGACAATGACTTAGTCATTATTAACCCATGACATGCACATCTTGACATATATACATACATAATTACAGAACATAATACCATCACCTAATCACACAGCACAAGTTATTGCAGTAGACTAATCTATGTGTCTGCGTATGCATACATTCTGGCCACAGACCACAGATAATTTAGGGCAAAGGAGGATAAATCCGCACAGCTGTAAGATGAAAGGAAAAGCTGCTGTGAAGCAGAGGGTTAGTACAGCAGGGCGTGACGGCTACATTACACATATATGGTAATGCTCCCCGCGCGCGCACACACACGTGCCTAACCGCGCGGGCGCAGATATAAATATCACAGGGAAACTCCTGCCTCCCTCTCTGCCTGTCTGTCTCCCTCTCTCTCCTCCCACTCGCTCCCCCTCTCTCGCTCTCTCTCCTCCCTCTCTCCCTCGTTATGATGCGTTTGTGTGTTCTAGCTGTAAGGTATCTTTATGATTTATACCCGGTCGTTGTTTGTTTATTTTGAGGTCTGGTGAGAATTTATCAACAGCGAGGCTAATAGCAACAATCTATTCATAGCCCCCCCTGACTGACTGAGCTGCTCACTTCATACCTACACAGAGCAAAGGTCAGCCAGGGTGTGGGGGATGGGAGGGACAATCACGGCACCATTCTATTGACCTACTGTTACTTCTACTCCTCCACTTGATAATGTAAATCTTTCATTAGCAGATTGTCTCTACAGAATCGTCTCTACAGGCTACTACAGAATCGTCTCTACAGATTGTCTCTACAGGCTCGTCTCTCTATAAAGGACAAAGCTGACTTTTTTTCTTGAGCGGCAGTTGACACCATCTCTATAGTAAGAACGCGTGTCTTTAAAGGACAGTTTTTGGGTTTCCCTTGAGCGACCGTTATATGGAGGTTTCGTAATGCTGAATGGGCTCGACTGTAAGGTTGGCGGCGGGGGGTGAGTGGCTAGGTGGCACTGCAGTAGTTACCTCCATCGTCTGCGAGTGGTGCATATTCTTTATCGCGCTCAGAGCGCACTGCCGAGTTCCGTACGTGACAAACGCACAACCTGGAAAGAATCAGAGAACGTCACATCAGGCACGACGACCATGTTTGGTCCAAGGACATGAAGATGCATGGCCTAAACTTCGTTACTATTATTTTAGTATCGATTCCATTCAGTAGTTTACACAAACAATCAATACATAACTCAGTAATTGTATACATAACAAGTAATAACAAATAGCTTTACAGGTATTTATAAGTGATAATCTCATACTGTGTAATTCGAACTACTATTGCCATTATGAATTTCCAAATAAACAGCAAATATCTTATCCTCACGAGGCAAACATGCGACATCTATTCTCTCCCCAACGCTTTTTAAGGCTAGCAAGAACCAAGATGAATGTGTGCGCTCCCAGAAGAATCAATAGCAGAAAAACTATCAAACTAGGTAGGACGTAACTCGACCCTTTCATACACTGCTTTCCGTACAATGCAAACAACGCATACGTAGCGAACGAGCCGAGAGGGAGGGAATACCCTGCGGTGAGAGAGCTCAGTGGGTGCAGCAGCGGAGGAAAGGATGCGACTCACCGTCACCCAGGGTAGCGGTGCAGTAGCTACATGCAAGAATGCGTGCGTGCATATGTGTGAGCGTGTGTGCGTGTGCGTGCATGCATGTGAATGCGTTTGTGCGGGTGGCAGACGTGGCGGCAGTGCTCGGAAGATGCTAATAAAACATTTAGGATATTGCTGCTAGGTCCGGCAAGCTGGACTAGTTTACACGTGTTGTTACACATGCGCATCGCATTCATGACTCTGGGGCACTTCATTACTGAGCAACATTTTCTAACTCCCATACGCACAGCTGATACTGATAGGCTAGAGCTACCTTTACTGACTCCATCAGGCCCCCGAAGCACGGTGCACTCTTCTATTCCGCCATACGGAGAGAACATCAGCCGAATGTCGCTCTCGGCGATCTTCTTGCTGACCATGCCGATGAACAACTTCCGATGTTCGATGCCTGCGAATATGAAGAACACGTGGGTTAAGGAACAACAGGGCAGAACAACAGACAGGCAGGCGACAAGCAGCCGTGAAGCAACCTAGACTTTTTAAGTATTCGGACAGAGAGAAAGTCGGGGGGGGGGAGACAGGCAGGCAGAGGAACCTAGTAAGATAAGCGGGGTGTATGAGCAGGCAGGTAGGTGGACAGCTAGACAGACAGGTGATTCAGACGATAGGTAGGGGGAGGTTTGTAGGTGTCTGGTGCTGCATGGTTACAGCTACTCGCACAATGAGCAAAACCTTGCCTCTGCAGTAAAAACCTCTGCGAACATGTGGCGAACACATCGAACATGGCCCAACAGGCTGACACTACACCCAGCATACGCCATTGCCCAGATCTTACCGCACCCTGCCAGACAAACCCCACCATTATGTAGCATATATCTCGCGACACGCAACGCTAACGCGCCGAAACTACTAATACTATACACAACACTATCGCACCCAAACACACACCAAAACACACATGCACGCTTACAAACATGCTCGTACAGACAAACGCACACACACACGCACACACACACGCGCACACACACACACACACACACACACACACACACACACACGCGCGCGCGCACACGCACACACGCACACACGCACACACGCACACACGCACACACGCACACACGCGCACAAACCCACCCACCCGACCTCACACTCCCCCATCACGCACGCAGCTTGCTTGCATGCCAGGTGGCCCGCTTCACACGCACCAAGGCTTCGCACGCACGCAGCACACTCCCCCCCCCCGGCGTGCAATGTTTATCTCACTCCACCGCGCCGAGATCCGGTCGCTGCCACGGAGACCCCAGCAATCTGAATCCTGCGAGACAGTGGTGCGAAGGTGGAGGAGGCGGGGGAGGAGAGAGGAAGATGCAGAGAAGAGAGAGGAGGTGTAGAAGGTGGTGGGGAGGAGTGGGAGGAGCAGCAGGAGGTGGTGGGGAGGAGACTTAGGAGAGGGAGGAGCACGAAGAGATGGAGGAGGAGGTGGGGGAAGGAGTAGGCAGAGAGGAGGAGGGTGGGAAGGAGTAGGAGGGAAGGAGGAGGAAGAAGAAGAAGAATGTAACCGCTGCCCTCGCTCCTCCTCCTTCTCCTCCACACAGATTTATCCACGACTGGAGTGGTTTGTTTTTACTGCGCATCTAATGGCAGCGGACAGACGAACGCCGCATGTTCCGCATGCGAACACGCGCGCGCCTGGATTCCTGGCTGTCGGCATGAGAGGTGTGGGGCGAGGGAGGCAGCACACACCTCACACCTAGCCCACCCGCGGGGAGCGCGTCTCTACTATGTGCGTGTGTGTGAAGAGGAAGTCTGCACCGTGTCTACGAGATGCGGATCCAAGGTAACGAGCCCGCGTGGGGTCGACGCGCCTATCGTTCGATGTCACTGAACTCTTAGAGTAAGCAATGACCAACTAGTTTAGACTCGGGGACTCTGGTAGTCATCACCATGCCCTTAAAACTCGGGAAAAAATGCTCTGGATCATCTGGTCAATCGGTGCGTTAACGCGTCAGTCATAAGCAGGCACCATCTAGCGTCGGTACCTCCTCAGCCTCGGGCCATACAGCAGGCGCCCTGTAGCAGTAACCCCATACCAGTCACTCACTCGTACTCGCAGTACACTGCACCCACGAGGCGCCCCTAGCGGTGTCCGGTCGAGCATTCGCGTTGCCGCGAGCGCTCCCTATGCTATACTAGTGTTTGGCCGCCAGACATCCCGCTTCTTGTCGGCAAAATACTTAACGTCGGTACGTCGCTAGCGGATGCGCGCACCGCCGCCTCCGCCGCGCTCTACTTCGGGTAAATATTTACGAAGCGATTTCGAATTCCGCACGCGCGCTACGTCTTCCCTGCATCAGCAGCCAGGTTTCCGCATGAGAACGCGCGCCGCGCTTCTGCTAGACCGAACTCCCTGAGATCCGCGACGGTGAGAATCGACAGCCGCCGCCGCTGTCTTTGCCGCCGCCGCCGTCGTCGTCGTCGTCGTCATTGTCCGGTTAGATTTTTAGCGGACGGACGACGACCAGAGCGAGCCGAGCGGTGAGCAGACCCGATGTCAAGCTTTGTAGAGAAGCAAGGTGCGGCCGAGAACGGAGGACCTGCAGGGTGAGCGTCGCGGTGTCGTCGCAAGGTCGTCACAGGACGTCGCAGAATTGTCTCAAGGTCGTCGCGGGGTCGTCTCGAGGTTGTCTCAGGTCGTCGCAGGATCGTATCAAGGTCATCGCAGGTTGTCGCGGGGTCGTTGCGGTGTTGTCTCAAGGTCATCGCAGGTTGTCGCGGGGTTGTTGCAGTGTTGTCGCAGGTTGTCGAGGGGTCGTTGCGGTGTTGTCTCAAGGTTGTCGCGGGGTCATCGCAAGGTCGTCTCAAGGTCTCGTCATGGTTAGTAGGCCTGGAGAATCTCAGAGACGACAACGACGCTCACGGCGTCGTTATCTGACCCGCTGCCTAGACTGATGCCGCCACGACCCCCGCAAGCAAACCCAGCAAGCCTCGACGATGCGCGGCAGCAGTCTACCCGACATTCAGTCTTCCCCGCGGCCAATAGACTGCCGCACGATGCGCCGACGGTGTTTGGGAGATACCGATCGTGCAACGTCTGTCAATCGCTCTGCTCCCAAACACTGCTCCATTTCCGACCAGAGTTACGGGTGTGTGTGTGGGGGGGGGGAGTGCCATTTCCTACAGAGGGAGCTGATGGGGAGGGGGGAGAGTGCCATTTCCTACAGCGGGAGCCGATGGGGAGGGGGAGATTCCATTTCCTACAGAGAGAGCCGATGGGGGGGGGATATGCCATTTTTGATCGCGGGTGCTATGGGTGGTGGTGTGGGTGGGTGAGGGGGGAATAGTACCATTTACCAATAGAAGGGGGTAAAAAGAAATAAAATTTCAACAGCGCTGCGTGAGACACTACGGCCGGCTCCCGCGAACGAATTTCGAATGACTTTCGCCACGTAAAAAAGGCCCGCTAAATCTGTTTACATTACGCGCAGTGCAAGCAAACGCTCGGGAGGAAATCTCGCATTTAAAATGCGCAAGGCGCGCCGCGGCGGCGGCCGTACCGTGGCCAACGCTGGATTTGTCGACAGCCGGCTGCCACCAGGGGGCTACAGTGACAGCCGGCCACCACTAGGGGGCTACAGTGACAGTCGACGGCACCAGGGGGCTACGGTGACAGCCGGCCACCATCTAGGGGCTACGGTGACAGCGCGCCAGCACCTCAGGTGCCTACAGTGACCAGTCGACGGCACTAGGGGCTACGGTGACAGCGCGCCACCCACTAGGGGCTACAGTGACAGCCGGCCACACACTAGGGGGGCTAACGTGACAAGCCGCACCACAGGGGGCTACGGTGACTAGCCGGCCACCACTAGGGGCTACAGTGAAGCCGGCCACGCAACTAAGGCTACAGTGACAGCCGCCACCACTCGGGGGCTACGTAAGACAGCCGGCCACTCACTAGGGGCTACGGTGACAGCCGCGCACCACTAGGGTCTACTAGTGACAGCTCGACGGCACTAGGCCTATGGTGACAGCTCGGCCACCACTAGGGGGCTAACAGTGCAGCCGCCACCAGCTAGGGGGCTACGGGACAGCCGCTGCGCACGACACTTAGGGGGCTACAGTGACAGCCGGCCACCACTAGGGGGCTATGGTGACAGCCTGCCACCACTAGGGCTACAAGTGAGCAGCCGGCCACCATCTAGGGGGCACAGTGGAGCAGCCGGCCAGCACTAGGGGGCTTACAGTGGACAGTCGACGGGCACTAGGCTATGGTGACAGCCTGCCACCACTAGGGGGCTATGGTGACAGCCTGCCACCACTAGGGGGGCTACGGTGACAGCCGGCCACCACTAGGGGGCTACAGTGACAAGTCGACGCACTAGGGGCTATGGTGACAGCCTGCCACCACTAGGGGCTACAGTGACAGCGGCCACACACTAGGGGCTATACGGTGACAGTCCGACGGCCCAAAAAAAACCAAACACACCGTATTAGTCCGCAGTGCTCTCTCCTCAACTCCCCGGGAGCGCTAGTCAGTTTAAATTGTTGCGGCGTGGGGGAAGGGGTGAGGGAGAAAAAGAGAGAATGAGAGAGAGACAGAGACAGAGACCAATTTTAAGACAGAAGCGAAGGGAGAAAGAGAGAGAGAGAGAGTGCGCGAGAGAGTTAGAAAGAGAGAGCAGGACAGAGATAAGCGAGAGAGAGAGAGAGAAGAGAGAGAGAGAGAGCGAGAGAGATGAGAGAGAGAGAGAGAGAGAGAGGAGAAAGAGAGAGAGAGAGAGAGAGAGAGAGAGAGAGAGAGAAGAGAGATAGAGGAGAGAGAGAGAAGAGAGAGAGAGAGATGAGAGAGAGGAGAGATGAGAGAGAGAGAGAGAGAGAGAGAGAGGAGAAGAAGAGAGAGAGAGAGGCAGAAGACGACAAACGAGAGGAGAGAGGAAGAGAAAGAGAACGANGATCCTGTGTGGATGTAGCTCTACCTGTGTAACCCTGTAGCGGGAGCGACGGCAGACTACACCGGTAGAGCTAGTGGGGAGGGAGATTCTGTGTGGATGTAGCTCTACCAGTGTAACCCTGTAGTGGGAGCGAAAGCGGGCTACACCGGTAGAGCTGGTGGGGGGGGGGGAGATTCTGTGTGGATGTAGCTCTACCGGTGTAACCCTGTAGCGGGAGCGACGGCAGACTACACCGGTAGAGCTAGTGGGGAGGGAGATCCTGTGTGGATGTAGCTCTACCGGTGTAACCCTGTAGTGGGAGCGAAGGCGGGCTACACCGGTAGAGCTGGTGGGGGGGGGAATGACACATTTGTCATTATTAACTCCTGATATATATATACAATATTAATAATGATCAACTGGCTGTCTATCAATTGCGCTCGCCTGCCTCGCACACAGCAGGTCGAATGTTCATCTACTACCAATATTGCACCGTCTGCCGGTGTCTCGCAGCCTGCAG